ACATCGCTCACTGTCCTCCAGCCATATATTCAAATACACACTCTGCTGTCTCTCCTCACTCCCCGCCGAGGTTTAGCGTTGTTTTTTCACCCACGAAAATTCAATCCCCACCATTCTAAACTCACTCGGGCATCCATGAGCCCACTAATTAGCCTCGGACACTGCGCGCCTTTGCGGATCCGTGGAATCCGCAGTTGTTTGTCAACCGCGCGAGACCTCTGTGGAGCCTCCCCCGTTACCTCAATTTTTCTTTTTTCTCCAATGTGAAGCCCTCTTTGTCCCTCTTCAACACCCTTGAACACTGCCAGCCTCCCATGCGCACTCGTATCTTTTCATTTTTCTCGCCTTGAAGTTCGAATTATTAACAGAATAGAAGGTGGCACTTGTTCGGAAGCATCTGAGCGTTATGTTGGCGACGAGTGCCTCTCAGTGAGCTTCCTGTCGACGTATTTGGATCCCTTTCAGCGTGACAGACGAATCCAGGGCTCATTCAAACAACGCGAGAGTCAGCGGAGTTTTATTTTACGAGTCAAACGAACCTAATCAATACTTCAGTCTGGAAAAAAAACACGGGGATCGGATGAGTTCTAAAATTGAATACGTGAAGATGTGAAGTTGGGACGTGCCGTGAGGAGCGTGAAATCCATTCGCATAGGGGGACCACTTATTCTCGGAATCAATGAGGCACGAGGGATCCAGTCGTATTGGAGAAAAAAACGAAGAAAAATTAAAGCTGAATGTGGTGAGCGATCGTTGACGAGAATGTCCAACCCCGGATCGGTTCGGACTGATAAGGAAGATGATCGATGCCCCTGGATCGGTGACAACGAGACACGCGTGACGACAAGGGTTCAAAATGATAGCGTGGGTTTCAGAAATGAATCGTGACTCCGGACGTGTTCTGATGGTTTGTATTACGGATATCCATCGCGGCGTGAGATCGCTCTATAACCTGTTGACGCCCATCCCTGGATGCCTCCGGAGCATCGATGTCTCTCTTTGACCATCTGTCATCCAGAATTTCGTTGGGGACTAGCCACCCAAAACATGAGAGCCAATCCATTGGTAATTCCGGGGGAGAGATCGTTATTTATGTTTGATGGAAGATCGAAATGCAGTTGGAAATCGGTTGGATTTTTATTTTTGGACAGGACTGCAGTTCTTCTCACACGGACTGGTGGAAAAAAAATTCTTTTGATCATTTTTCCAATTAAAATTTCAGTCAATGGAGTTCCCGCAGGAAAGAAGATATTAATTCGCAGATATATCAAAAATATAATAAATTAATAAGGGAGATGTCCCTTATATCTCCGGAAACAGACAATATTTTAGATACATCCGTTGAATATTGTTTTTTTGCCAAAAAATATGTCAACGGGGATATATTTTTTCCGTACGCGTTGGACCATTCTGCGTTAAGGTGTGTACGATACGTCTAGACGATACACTGAGAGAAACAAAGTTTTTTCAGAAGTACGTCTTTACTTATATCAAGAAACTCGTGGCTGGATAATTTTCAAGATCAACATATCTTGCACGAAGGAAAAAAAACTTCCGTCGAGAAATTTTGTGCTTGTCTTAATGACGAGGACGATTCCTTGATGATAAGAAAGCAATTTCTCATCCCAAGGTAAATTGAATTAATTCATTTAATAGTTTTTAGCCTCAATTCTGAGTTTCTTGAATGCAAAAACCATTTGAATTGGTTTGAGAACTCGTTTTCTTGATATGGACCATTTACCCTCATCTTTCGGAGAAGTATAAATACTGTGCGCTTGGTAATTTTTGATCCAGAAATTTCTTGATACAAGTAAAGACGTATTTCTCGAACAACACTTGTCTTCTCAGCGTAGTCAACTGATCGCAGAACGAAAAAGTTTTGATTTTATTAAAAATTCCAACAGTGTAATATTTATGTTGCCCTATATATGCATATTGATACCGTATGCCACCTCCACATTAGCGTATAAATCTCACATTTAAGTTGGACTTATCTTTGAAGACAGGGGAAAATATATAACGCGCAATATATCCGAATTACACGTTAAGTACTGTCACGCATATTTTACCTGTACCTGCGATGAGATATTGTAGTTCAACTCAACTGCTGCTCATTTGTTTAACATCAACTCTCTCCACTAGAACGAATAATAGCTCATTTTTTCCGTCATTACCAATTAATCCTTAACTGCTCGCACTTTTCTAGCATCTCACTCGCTCTACAGTGGCACTCTATACGTTGCGTATGGTTTGGCAAGGACCCCCGCACCATGCGATCATACTTAACGGTTAAATTACATCCTTTCTTATGACAAAAAGTTTATGGTTGCCATGAAATTCGGCTTGACTTGATCGTGTTTGACTGCTTTTCATGGCGATTTTTGAAATGCACGGAGAGAAATATTCAGTAAAAATTATGGAACTCACAATTCACTCACCGTTTACGGAATCGATTCAGAAAATTTAAGTGACGGTATCGTAATTTTTCACAGGAGATTCAGATAAAAATTACGGAACGATCTGGAAAAATTCCGTGACAGGTCCGTAAAATTTCCAACAACCACCTTTCGCTCCGGAATTACGGAAAACGTATCTTTTAGTGAGTATTTCTCTCCGTATAGTTATACATACCTTACTACACGGAGAAAAAAGTTGGATAAAAATTACCTCGAATATCGTGACAAATTGTACTGTACGAATGGTAATATGGTGGAGCGAAATGTAATTCATTGAAAAAGTACTGGTTTTTAGTGGATATCTTATGATGTTCTCGGTAAAAAATACGTCTATGGATGCAAAAATTATCCTCCTGTTTAGTAAAATTTCCCACACCAGAAAGGGATTATTTGTTTTGTACCCATCTGCAGGTCATGGGGACGGTCGGAAGTGAATTTTTACCAAACGGGTGCGGTAAAAATCATTCACCGTTACAGTAAAATTATACGAAAAATTGGAGCCATTATTCACGTTCACTGGGATAATTTATGATGGGATACAGCGTAAATTTTACATTTTCCCGGGCCACCGGAGTAAAATTCACTATTAATCTCGCACTTCTTCTCCTATTTAATATGAAAAAGCACTAGAAATCGAGGTTGCTCCACGATTACTTGACCTGTTTAATAATTTTTCTCCAACTCTTTTCTCCATGCAATACTCGACACTAATAATAACTATCTATAGTACATTAGAGTACAAGGGCACAAATTTCGTTTTCGTGAGAAGACCCGGTAAACCGTTATTCTAACCTCGCTTCGCTCGGTTTGATCGCGGTTTACGGGCCTTCTGACGAAAAATTGCATTCATCACACGGTCCAAAAGTATTTTCTGACGAATGTGATTATAGCCTCGCCTTCGGCACATTCGTCAGAAAATACTTTGTGGACCTTGTGATGAAAATAACTATTTCGACGAATGTGAAGTTTACAGGCCGAGCCGAAGGCGAGGTCTATATTCACATTCGTTGAAAACGAAGTTTATGCCCGAATGGTCTATACTATTTTATGCCACATCGTGCGATAAACTCGACTTATTGTACGGCGTGCCATAAATAAAATTTTATCAATTTATGTTACAACAAATGCATTCGAAACGCTAAAAGAACAAGATCTCAACGACCCCTCGATTTTCCCCGCAAAATTCAAATCCCCGCATCCCTGAAACGATAAACCCCTCCCCCCCTGGATGATTCATCCCGACGAAAGCGCCATCGCCGCTCTTCAATACTTGAGGGATAAGAACCGAGTGAATCGCCGGCCTCCCATTCATGGTGGCGTTTCCCTTGGCGTCGGCTAATTAAGATCGTTGGAATTGAACAACGTACCGTGTACGTGGGAACACGGTTTTATATGCGCTATGGGTATTTCTCAGTTAAGTTGAATAAAACACTGTGTGGCTGCTGTGAGACGCACGGATCGAGGAAGGCGAGGGGGTGGGGAGGATAGTTAGAATGAGGTAAGGCCCGTGGTTGAAGCAAATTGTACAACATAAATATCGTACGTACCTTGCAATGCGTACGTACGTGGAAATCCTGAGCTATGCGTCTTCGCTACATTACACGGGAATCCACGGTAAAGCATTCTAACGCTTTGCTGACTCGCGCGCCGATTCCACCTTCATACTGTACATATATTTCCAGGGAGCAGGACTACCAGAGTTGAGAAGCCAGCGGAGAATCAGCTACCGTCGGCGGTTTATTTGCCCTCTTCCCCCCCCCCCTCCTCCTCCACCCCGCCAACATGCCCAACGTGTACAGAATGCAGACGCCGGATAATCTCAGTTGGAGATCGAAGAGAAGCTACCGAGATATGTGGCCATCATCCACGACATCTTGGTAGTCAATGTCGTTGAGTTATGAGGCGGGTTTTAAACCCATTCTCCTTTGTAATGTTGCAGCTTAAAGTCCACCTCTGCAATCTGTTACGCTACCACTCTGTTGGAGAAAAGAAGAGAGAGAGAGAGGGGGGCGACACGAGACAAGAAGTCTATGTCTTTTTCCAACGGACAGCAGTGGACAAGTGTCATGATGAAAAAATAACGACAAAAAAAAATTTCATACTGCTTGTGATGTTGCACAGTGCGAAACTCACGTATACCGGACGTATATGTAACAGTTAATCCAAGAAAATAGGTACAGTGACTTTCTACTTGATCCCCATCGTGATATCGTCCCATACTTGGCCAACTCGAATCCAAGTTAGTTTCACCTTCTTGTCCCTTTGGAGAACTGCGAAAGAGCTGGGCACCCATCGGCGCTTGATCCATCGCTTCTTGGTCTCATTTTTCTCTCACATACTTTATTCTTTTTTAGGCGGCTCGAATCGACAGAACCCAAGCTGCAAGTTCTTCATAGTCAAACGACTTGATTTATTCGATTGGTGGAAGAAACTGTTTCTTTGGGTCTCTGAGGAGTTATACATGGAGTATACACTGTTGCTCGAGATGGATAAACAGGTGGTGGTAAGGTTTTTTCATTCAGTCGGAAAGAATAACTTCGGTAGAATATTGTCAAAATATATTCAATGAAAAAAGTCATTTTGTAAAATTATAGGCAATCGTCACGATCGATTTACAAGGATAATAGATGATAGGTGGTTTTTGTTTTTTTATGATAATGTTCATTATTATTACCTCCAGCTAAAAGACCGCAACCTACTGCAATGCATCCCTTACGACCTTATTAAAATTCTGATGTGTCTCTGTGTAGTTGTGTACTGAAGGAGCATATTATGATTCACCTATTTGTTCAATATTTACAGAAAATGAATTACACTGACTCACGGTGTAGCTAATAATTAAATTTCACTGGCTGAATAACTCTTACAAATAAATATGTTCACTGTTATACATCTTTTTTTTCTCACATTAACGAGGTGCGATGAAGGATCCTTGTATCCTTGTATAATTCGTCTCGATTGTTGTGTTTTTACATGTGCAAAAAGTGTTTTTCATCCGTCAATTTAAATAAAGAACATTGTTCTTGCCACAATTACTCAGATTTCTACAAATAAATACATATAATCCTCGTTGTTGAATCTATCTATAGTACAGAAGACGATAAACTCGTCATTTTATTACAATAAATTTATCTTTCTCCACATATATATATCATCTTTTATATATAAGCTATATCTTAATATACAATTCACATACGACTACACGCACTAGTCTAGTCATGGGCAGCAATGCGTATGTTATATTTTACAGACAATTCCCCAGAACTCTAAATAAATATTCACATCATCAATTTCTTTTTTGTTCACGGGGAATAATTATTAGACAGCCGTTGTAACGGGACGAAAAATCCCACAATAGTCTCTTACCAGTTTTTCGAAAACAATTCACAGAGGAAGTTTTGTTAAACAGGTACGAAATCACGCACAATCAAGCGATCCGAGGGATGCTGGACTGTGTGGTCCCATCATAAATTGTGGACTCATTGGTGGCCCACCACTTCCTGCACTATTACCGTACAGTTCAAGGTCATTTAAGGAGCCACCATCAACACCACCGCACTTGTCTGACTTGCCCTCCTGCTTGAGGACCATACGTCGCCATTTTGCGCGTGCGTTTTGGAACCATACCTGCGGAAGGAACAAACATCACACCATTACACTGTTGAAAAAAAATGAAATTTCGTGGACAGTTGACTGCCAATTTTCAGTACAGTGACACTGAATGCGATTTAGGGGGAAAAAATCATGAAATTTCAGGTTTCATCAAAAATTCAGTAAAATTTCAGAATTTTAAACGGCATAACACGAGAATTCCTCAATTTATTTGAATTTTCAATCTAATATGAATATTCAGTGTCAAATTGCATTGAATTGTCAGTGAAATCTGAAATTTCATGATTTTTTTCCCCGTAAATCGCATTCAGTGTCACTATCCTGAAAATTCAAGAATATATTTACTAGAATTTCCTGGTTTTCTATTCATTTTCAGGGAAAAATGGAACGGAAATTTACAGTTTGATTTTTCCATGAGAGACTGAATTTTCAATGACACGATTTCCTGAAATTTCAGTGAACTTAGAACACGATAAAAATTTCCGGAATTTGGCACGGAAAATTCACAGTTAGAAAGAAAATACAGATAAAATCTGATGCGCCACCGGTATTTTGCCAGGGGACTTCATAAGATGAGTAAACTCCGTGATTTTCCATTTGGCGCACGAAAAAATGTTTTTTTTTACCGTCAATTTTACGACATTTCAACAGAATTCAATCTATCGTAAAACTCTCGAGAAAACCGGTAAAATGACTGGGAAACGTAAGAAATTATTCTATGCGTCGAAATCAAATTATCTCGAGGCTACAGGAATGAGCAATAGGGAAGTTTTGGGTTAAATGGATCATTTTGAAGTTGAAATAAAAATTGTTTTTTTGTAGGAAAAATCATTTTTCTACAAATTTTATCTGATACAGTTAGGCTCCCCTACTTCGCTTCCCCCACAGTCATGTCCATATTACACCATCAGAAGTTTACTGTAATTGATTCAGTAGAGTTCCGAAAATTGTCGGGATTTTCCCGATTAAACGCGCGACATTTTCTGAACAGTCTGTACAATCGGATTCTTTCAAAAATTCTTGATCGATACGGATGTGAAATCCTTCATCGGACTCATCGGGAAAAGTCTTGCGATCACCAGACTACTTCCGTTTCCTTTCTCTCCGTGCAGACAAAAATTTTTACCAGTCTAGAATGATTGTTATCCAGTTGATTGACCGTAGCAAATCAATTTGTCTGGTGTGTAATAGGATACATAAAAAAAGTGTCGAATAAAAACAGTGAAGCGAAGAAAGATAAAGAGCTGTTAAAAGTGTTGTGACCATGTGAAAGGACTTGACAGTCATTGGCATTCTCGTTAGTGTGAGTGTTTTTTTTTCCTTATACACCTTGAGGGATAATTAATTCACACACAGTTAGCTGTCGCCTTAGAGCTCAATCTGACCTTCGGGGCAAAACAAGGATTGACGGGTAACGCGTGAACACTAACTAATCAACCAGTGTAAACACACCACCATAATCGGCGTTGGTGTGATAAATACTATCAGACATCCGGTGAACAACTGATTTCACTGGTGTATCGAGTGTGAAAATAGATTGAGGATAATGAGTGAAAAACAAATGAAATGAGTAATAGTGACTGAAATGGAGCACTGCAAATAAGGGCATGGAGTATGGATCCACCATCTTTGCAATCATCAGTATCATTTTTTCGTTTTTGTGTTAGAGGGAAACGACAGACAGCAGTCTCCACCCCCGATGAATTCGCTGGAGAATCCCCAACGGCAGCTACACGGACGAAAGGACGAGCCAACAAGGGGAGAAAGGAAAGTTGAACACACAGCAGGCGGTGGAAAGAGGCGAGTATTCGCGCGTCTCGCGATCAATATCAACCAAGATGGCGTACACTCCCAAGACCCCTTCGTTTCTACGCCAAATACAATAGGTGTCTCCCTCGTGCCCCTCTCCTTCACTCTCCTCACAGCCAGCACTTTCCACTCTCTGGCTCTTCCCCTTCTGTCCTCCATACCTCCTTCTGGGATTCTCTCATTTCGTCTTTCTTTTTCTCATCATCTGTATTCATCCAGCAGGTGGCAGACTGTGTATCTTTAAGCCGAAGTACCTCGAACGTTGGGTTTTCCTAGGGAGTATAAAAATCCCGGCGCTCAAGGAGAACACCCCTGAGATATAGAAAAGCCCCCAATCCCTGCGCGATATAATGAACGACTTGTATAACTCGGGTTCTTAAGAGAATACACTGGGTTCGCTAGTGATTCAACGATGATTCCAGTGATTTCTATGCACGGAGAGAAAAATTCAATAAAAATTACCAGAAAAAAAACGTAAAATTACGGTTCGAAACGTAATCCGCGAGCGAAGTAAAATTCAATAAAAAGTGTGAGTCGCACGGAGAGAAATTTTTTAGAAAAATTCTAGTGCTAGCACGGGAAAAGAGGCGCAAAGTGACGGCCAGGAAAAAATTCCAGTGCCGGCACTAAAAATTTTATTGGGGAAAACGTGAATTTTTCCCCTTATTTCTGTGAAGCTTTCACAGAAAGTTTCTGTAAGATTTTACTTCTTCGGGAAAAATTACGTGACAATTTCGTACTTTATTCGGTGATGAACCTGAAAATTCACAGAACGTTTCAGATTTCTTCTCTCCCATTCCTATAAAAATTTCCGGAAAACGATTTTCCATTGCGGATTACGTGAATTGTTCCGTAATTTTTACTGAATATTTCTCTCCGTGTGTGCATTGTCCAGGAATACACGGTTCAAGGAGTCAACAAGTCACCCTTCGTTTATTTACCCCAGACGATGATGGAACATTTCGAGTTTCTTTTGTCTCCAGAACAAAAAAAAAATGAAAAATGGAGACAGCCGAGTGAAATACGTGAGATACATCTTGCTTTGGACAGAAACCTCTCCGCTCTCTCCCCATGTTTTTCACTCTCCACCCTCATTTTTTGTTCTTTTCGTCAACAGAATGATTTATATATTGGAGTGTAAATGATTTTTTTGTCCTCATAATAAGAGAAATGTGGCAACAGTTACAGGGACTCACATCGTTTTAACGAGGTTTAGAGAAGCTGCGGTACACCTCTCTCACTCATCATCATTCTCTCTCTGTTTTGAGGCTACTGTTGTTGCGGGCCATACGCAGAGTTGACGTAGAAACGCGGTTAACGAAGGAAAGCAACGGCGTCGACGGAAATATCACGAGAAGCGCAGCCGTTCCGCGTGGACCGGGACGCACTAATTGGGAGTGTGCCTATATACACCACGCGTGCCCAGAACGTATCTCGCCCCGTGACTATATTTTTATGGGGTCGAGACTCCTTTTTTCCCCGAGTTCTCGTGGAGAAATGATGTAAAAAGAATGAAAGCTCGAGGGGAACAAAAAATATTATGAAAGATGAAGAGAACAAGAGAAGGTAAGAAATTCAGCAAAAAAATGTTCTCACGAAAGAAAAAACAAGACGACATTGCCGCGGTCGATTCGTCTTGTGGAGCGTTACGCTTCGACTGTTTTCATCATACTCCAGTACTCAATTTCTTCTGGGGACTAGCCAAGGTATATCCCATCGGAGAATAATTCACCCGTAGGAATAATTGTCAAGCCACTTCGCCAGAGATACCGGCGACAGACATAAAACCCCACTTGAGACAAACTTGATCCTTTTTCTGATTGGAGCTTGAAGGGAGAGAGAGAGAAAGAGAGAGAGAGAGAGAGAGAGAGAGAGAGAGAGAGAGAGAGAGAGAGAGAGAGAGAAGGCCGAAGGAAGTACAGAAAATCTCAGCTTGTCAAAGTGAAAAGATAGAGTACAAAAATTGTCGGATAAGTTGTTGTATCTGTGGCTCTACTAATGGATGAAAAAAATAATACCGCTCACCTGTAGTACCCTCTTTGGCAATCCGGTCTTCTGGGAAAGCTGCTTGAGATCCTTCGCGTCGGGATTGTGATTGATGGCGAAGTAACTCTTCATCGTCCTCAACTGATGATGCTTGAAGCTCGTTCTCATGCGTTTCGTTCGGCTATTTGAGCCAGGCATACCCGGTGTACCAGGACCTCTACCAAATGGCATATCAATGTAATCCGAGTTGAGGTCTGCAAATGAATGAAGAGAAAATTGCACATTAAGACAATTGGCCGTGAGTTTGAATGCCTTATTCATCAAGTTTACATGAGACATTAGAATAATTGACACATGACTGATCAGCCTGAGGGACGTTAAAATGCCCACAGTGGTGGCATTCCTCTTCCTGTAGTTGTATTGCATGCTTACAAACTATCCAGACCTAACATAGAGTTGTAATTGGCCGTGTATACTCGGCTCGTGCATACTCTTTCGCATACTGGCTATCACTCCCTTCTTTTGGCCTTCCTCGTTTGCACTCTCAAGGAGCTAATGAGCCGTGATACGCATCAAACAGCGTTAGGAGTCGTCTTTAAAACCATAGTCTTCTCTCGGTATAGCGTGTTTGTGTGTAAGTTTGACCACCGACGGACATCCCTACCAGTCTGCCAATTGCTACGAAATCCCATTCACGCTTTACGTAATTGATGTAGAAAAACAACCGTCGAATCTAATTGTCATCAATTGAATTCTTTTTCCAAACGTGATGCCAGACTGTTGCATCACACCAACTGTCCCATTCCTGTTATCCCAAAACGAATCTGTATGATCAGAGCTCCACTCATGATAATGCATCAACGCCACTCGGGTTTTACCTCATGCTTGGTGCAAAACCAACGAGGTTTGCTTTCTCAAATCACCAAAGAAGCGATTCCGCACATTTCCAAATCGGGCCACACTCAGCATTCGCATCACGCAGACAGTTCTTTAACGAAAAGAGAGACGTTCTTTAACGAAAAGAGTTGAGTAAAATCGTTTATACGTGTTGTGCCCCGCGAGAAAATCGTTTAGAGAGGTGTGGAAAGCCATTGTTTCCCACGGTCAGCTGCGAAGGAACAGGTTTGAAGATTGAATTTTCGAGTGGCTCCAACCCACGTTAGGGCACACAGTCGCAGTGATAAAATGAGAGGCGAGTGCCCAGTGGTGGTGGTGAAACAGAGTACGATGAGGTTGTGAAGAAAGATGGAAAAAGGATGAAGAGCCCTGTTGGATCGTACTCGTGAATTTATGTCGACTGGACAAATTTTATCAGGGTTCGGTGGCAAACGCCGAACGCCCACGCTTACCGTAAATCACCGAGGGTTCTCACCACCAGTGCATACACTCTCGCAAAACGTGCTACACATACTGTTGAATGATAAAGAGAGAAAGATTATACAACAATCCAGAGCGGTTAATGTTTCGACCTTGACGACAACATAGGAATCGCCGATTCGTTGCATACACGTGAATAACGTTTGAATTTTTCAAAGGGATGAGAGAGAGGGAGTGAAAATTAGTGTGTTGGGTGCTGAGTCTCGCCCCTTGTACCAGGCCTGCTAGATTGTGATCGTACGTGTCCACGGCAGCGTAAGCCTTATCCATGTTGTGAGAAGAGAACAAGGAAGGGAGGAAAGGGATAACATGAGACGCCGAGTGTTGATCACCATTGAAAATTGCAGGATATCTGCCCATCACTTCCAGCTGGAGATAGATCATCAAACCGATCTGTTGGAAAGCGATTAATCAAGGAAGGAAACTATATCCAATGGTCAACACCAGTTATTTATATTTGTTTAGTGGTTTACTGGTGACAAACCATGACATCCGTTATCACCCAGACGCAACGAGAGTATCTCTTACTCGGTACCCCTTCCGACCACTGAACGGCCAGTCAACCGAAAACGATTGACTCAATCCAATCGGAAAACCAACAGAGTTCGATCAAGAAGCCAGACGAATGAGAACACAAAAACATTTGTAACAAATCTAACGTGGAAAAAACCCACAACAAGAACGAAGCGAAAGTGTTCTGAATACCTTGGAAGAAGGAAATGATTCGAAATCTTGAATACAGCACACTGATAACCGAAAAAAAGTCAAGAGGGAGAGATGACACAAGTACCACGAAAGAGCGGCCGCTCGAAATACACCGTGGAGCAATTTTACGGACTGCCAAGTGCTGCACATAAGGAGGCAAGTTGCGTGAACCGAAAACACCTACTTTTTCATGTCCTTTTTATCTTTCCAATTCTCCCTAAGCGCACAGTACTCCCTAATGTTCCGCTTTGTCTTTGGTCCCAGTGTCTGGGACATGGTAATGATGCGAGTAATGTCACTCTTTTTTCATAGGGAACACGTGCGAATGAGTGTTGCTCTAATCGAATGGAATAACAGCCGGAAAATTCTGCAAGGTTTCCCTCAAAGAGAGACGTCTGACCTACAGGCTTATAATTAGCAACATTCAACAGTGGTTCTTCCACTGTTAATTCCAGCGAACGGTCGACAATCATTACATTTGTAATATTTTGTAATATTATCAGAATGTGCACCTTTCTATTACTATGGTTTTATTATCTTGATTGAAATTTAAAAATAATAAAATAATTCATAATTTAAATTTTCTATTAACTATTGAGTAAATAATTCTAAACTTCATGAAAGGATTTTTCGATTAGACTTGTAATGGTCAAACTTCTGACACGATTACTGGTGGATAGATTATTTTGGAATTTTAACATTCGAGTGATGATTAATTTGGTAATTGACTAGAAAACGAACGTGCGCTTCCCGCGCGCATACATAAGCTAGTGGTTTATTGTGTTTACATCCTTTCATTTATTTTTGAAAATAGTAAAAGTAATAATAAACAATCACACGAGCATATAATTTAATGTCACGTTTCTACCATGAATTTTTACAGCTAGAATTATATTATTTCACACTAAATGATTGCTTCATATCACAAGATAGTTAAATTGTTCCATAAAGTATCCAGAACAGAATCCATTCATTAGTTAATCTTTGCTAAAGATTCTGGATTATACAAAGCTTTTTTTATCTCTCTAAAAGAAGATAATTTTTCAATTTTTCATTTCTATCATCATATATGTATAAACAAATATATTCAGAAAATATCTTTTTAAAAAGGAATATAAAACAAAGATTTGTATAATCTAGGATCTTAAGCAAAGATTATCCTTGTTCCTAGGCTTAAGGTTATCCCTGGCAAAATAGATTGCTGACAAAAAAGGTGACACCAATTTTTGAAAAGAAGAAAATTATTGGGTAATATTATCGGTCAACATAAGCTAAATTTAACTTATTTTGAAATTGATGATTGTTCCGATCCCTGATTAATTCCACATTACATCCGACGAGAACATCAAATCGATTATCTCAAATACAATCAATTCTTCATTGACCACCTAATCGAAAAATGATGATATCATCCGAACAAATGAATAAAAAAAAATTGAACTCACCAAGACTAGCTGTCATCGCCTCTAAATCCTTCGGCTTCCTTTTTCTGGGTCTCCCTTTTTGTCTGGGTGGAGGTACTCCAGCATTGGCTCCCACCGTGGAAGCGGCACCATTGAAGTACGGCACCTTCGGTGGTGAGCCAGCATCAGGCCCAGAAGGCGTCGACGGTTGCAGAGGAACGGGACTAGCATGCGTCAACTGATGTGGATGTTGCGGATGCATCGAGTGATGTGGATGTGGTGGTATATGATGTGGCTGATGATGCAGAAATTCAGGTGATGGAAATGACTGGCCAGGATAATGAGGACCCGGTGGATAAACTGGTACTGGTGGACTCTGGGATGGATGCAACTCAGCTCCCATCTCATAATGCAGACGACAAAGTACAGCGCCATCTCTCATACCAAAGTGATCGCCCTTTGTCAATGGTACAGTACAGGCTGCACAGGAAAAACATCGAACATGAAACACCAGATCTCTCGCTCGCATCACCAATTCTGATGCCAAAATTGCCGCTTGACATCTTGCACATCGTTTCATGCTGCCGAACATTCTGAAAGCAGAGGGAATACAAAGGACGTTACAACGTTAACTCTACAAGAGACTTTTGTATTATACTGGGAGACATTGAAAGTGGTGTAGGCGTTTGTAGATAAACCAGAATCCGAAATGGATAAGGCACGTTTGAGAGCAGGCATTTCCCACAGATGTTGTTAGGAGAGTGGTTTGGAGAAAAGAGAAGAGACTTTCTGAAAAGAAAGTGGGGAACGATCGATACGTATATTTGTGTGATATCAGTTACCAGTGGCGGTATGCTGAAGACAAGCGGCATAAGGAGGCGGAAGGGAGGATATCAACGATACACGAGAACTGGCCGACATCGCTACTGCATTAGCGGCACCCTACAGTCTCCATTACGAACGGCACAAAGGAAGAACTCTCTATCTTCCCTGCTATCAAACTCCTGGCTACCTACTCCCTGCCCTTATCTCAGCCTCCAAATATATTGCAGCTTTCGGCGGCCACTGGACGACTAGATGGAGACGTACCCAATCTTTATAAAGTAGCGGTGTTAGTTTCGGATTCTCCCTCGGTTATGGGGCGTTTACAAAATCATTTGGAAAAATAACACAGCTGTCAACATTCTAAAAGATTAGCTCCTAATGAATGACAAAGCTCTCTTGACTCGTAACACACGGTTCAGCCGTGCTTCATTGTCATCAGTCTCAATCCTGTCAATACGTGGTCCGTTACCCTCGGCCCGGGAGGTCGTGGTTAGACATACACATTTTTTTTCTTTTCACCTAATCGTATCCGACATTGAATTACGTAATCGCCCCGAGTCCAGTTGGTCTCTGGTCATAACCCCAGTGTTGCAGAGACCTGTAGATACAGCCAAAGCGCCTATTGCCGCTTTCTTTTCATTCATTTCTTTTTCCCTCATTCCTAAAGACCCACGGCAAAAGGCGATGAATGAGCGAACCCAGGAATAACCTCATTCAGATGTTTCGTTGCGGATGCGGTTGCCTGCAGGGGCGACCCGCAGAGTTTTACAAGTATCGCCATATGCGTTACATTATTATACAACTTGTGGAGCCTCAGCTATGGCTCACCCCTACGTCCCTCATTCTCTCACTCTCTCATTCGCCTAAGTCTAGTAACATCTGAAGCCTTGGCTTGCTAAACAACAAATCTCTCACAAAGACTTCGGAAATCTTTTATAATAATCAAAAGGCGAGGCGTGTTGTATGTGAGGACCACTTGCCGAGCGTTCGCACACTGTATTAATGTTTCATTTCTCTCCTTTAAAATCTCACGTTTTAGCACGTGGTGTCTCCGTACGGGGTGTGTCCACGGGTTTCTTGTTCACAAGGATCTCAAGTAGACCATCTAGAATTTCAAAATTCCAGAGTGTCCGTAATCATGTCTTCATGATATATATTCGTTTCTCCTTTATTCCCCTTCGATCTGACACGGAGAAAAAAGTTGGAGAAAAATTAGCAAACAAGTCGAGAAACTGTGGAGCAAATACCATTTCTAGATTTTTTTTCATCCTATATCGGGGCACCAATTCCGAGACGAATTGTGAATTTTTCTCCGCTGACTGGGGAAAAGTTACTTAATGCAAGGGCCATTTGTACCTAAACTGGAAAATATACCATTTATGCTATACTGTTAGAAAATTGCTCTTTAAATTTCAAATGAAAAAGTTTGAAATTTTTAGCAACGACATCGTTACATGAAATTCTTGGATGTTTCCTCATTGATGAATCAGTTAATTTCTTGAATATTCAAGCAATTCTCGATTTTCAGGTCCGTACGACACTAAAAAACCTTGAAATTATTGAAAATTCAGGCAACACCTTTTCTGAATTCTCAATCTATTGAAAATTGAATTGTATGTGGTGTTCAAATTTCACGATGCGTTTGAAAATTCAAGTTTTCATTGAAAAATCAATCATTGTTTAACATGAAAGACCCAATTTTCTTGAATTTTCAAGATGAATGAGAAATTTAGTGAACGATTTCGTTTAAAATTGAATTCAACCTCACACATCGAAAATTCAGATGACGGTGTGACTGAAATTTCAAGAAATTTCTAAGGGTATTAAAAATTATTCCATAAATTTACGCAATCGGCTGTACTGGGGACAGTAATTTTTGCATTAATAGATATGTTTTCTATATCATATTTACTAGCGGAGGGGGGATTTGGGCCCATCGTTGGGTCAGTCTATACAGTATTATTTAATTTCATTTTCTTCGCCTTTTCCGTCTTCAGGATTAGATTAAGTTAATTCGATGCATTCTTATTCTTCAAATATACGAATGACCGCATCAAATATTTTTTCGAATAATGAAGGAATACCCATCAATTCCATTTCTACCCTTGTCTTTTGATAGAACGATGAATGTAATGAATGAAATTGAACAGCAAAAAAATCTCGAATTGGAGACTGAAAATTTCTAAGAACGGATAATCATCTAGAAAATCGAAAAATTTGTTTTTCTTCATTTGTGTCGGTGGAAACTTAAAATTATTATTTTTTCTTCAAATATGGGAAGGATATGAATATTTTCAAGTTGTATGATCTCATTTTAACCAGAAAAAATGAAAAAATGCAAAATAACGTGGGCGGGAAGGAATAAAAAAAATTAATTTTTCAATGTCTCCGGAAAGTTTTAAAATCGATATATTTTTTCGAATAATGGGAGAATACCCATAAATTCGATGTCTATCTTTGTCTTTCGATCGAATGAATAGAATAAATGACAAAAATTAAGAATTGGACTAAAAATTTTATGCGATTATTATTACGTCATAATTCAACTTTTCTCTCCGCAGCAATTTTTTTCAATAATTTTGCCGAGCATTATTTAACGTTCGAACAATTTTCTCTGAAAACAATAACAAAATGCACCAAACCAGGCGACTTCTCGTGTTAACACTAGAATTTTCCTTCCGCTTTATTAAAAAAATGAACGGCTCCATATAAACATTTCTCGTACATTCCTCTCCACACAGTCATTCATCAGACCCCTGGTTTGATGTTTCAAAAAACTCCCTTCATTTCAACTTTTATCATATTTTAATATGCCCATGTAACACGTTTTATTTTATGAATGATGCAGCATCCACCGGTTGACTCTCTGTCGCACGTATGCAGTTGGACACCGCTGCGCGTGGGACGTTGTACGTGACTGCTACTCCCTTCTTGATCGCCCTCTCCTCCCCCCGCATTAATCTAGATCATGGCATTATATTACCAGCATCTTCTTATTGGCATACCGTGTCCCTAAAGCGTTGCACGACATTTTATTTTATTCCCATTCGACTTACGAGATGCATGGAGCACTCAATTCTCCTCAATACTTTTATTTCCACAATATCTCTCAGTTAATTCTTGGATCGATGAACGAGTGGTCAGCGAATAATGCAATTTTGAAATAATATAAAGACTATTCAACAGAGGTTATAAAATATTCACGTATATATGGTCGAAGTATTCCTTACCCTGTCTCTTCCATCTTCTTATCGCCCCACGTTCTAGAAGGGGAGGGGGGGGGGAGGGGGGAGAGAGATCGGGGAAGGTTATTCGCGATGCATTTTAATTACAATTCCCCAGGTTATTTCGTTCGCTCCTTCGTCCTCCCCCTGTGCTACCTCTTTCTTGCCACTGGTCTTCCTTATCGAAGAAATAATAATTTACAGTGTCGGATCCACTGTGAGAGAGGGCCACAAATGCGTCATCCCAGAGAGGACAGGGGGGGAGGAAACAGGTTGCAAAATACAGTACCATGGTGCCAGTGGTTTTAATCGTGTACATATACACAAGGAATAGCAACTACCACCTCGTGTCCTCCCAGGGTTCAGACATTTGCCGGCTGACTAATGCGACGGCAACACGACATCGTAAAGTGCGTTTGGGATCTGTATCGCGCTGTAAGTATCATAAGAACTTTTCCTTTTATTATTTCTATGTTGAGCCTTTAATCCCAAACGACAAGTCGTATCTGAGTGATATTTCTTGATGACAAGAAAATTTTTTCAGTTTATCAACAGCCTGGTCCCCTCCAGCCAACATCGTGAGCTTTTTATTCGCATTGCGCAAATATTCAAGCGTGTTTAGATTTATAAAACACTTGATATAAAGTACAGCGTGCTTTATAAGGCATAAAGCCAAGGTAACCCGATACTTTTTAGCGAGAGTAGTTTATGGTGGTGACACTCTTGCAATATTTGCGTGAACAACGGGATGAGAGAGGTGAACATGACCTTGTAACTTGGTGTTTATCCCAGGAGAGGGACCCCGCCCTCCTGTGGTGCTACGCCGAATTGCCCTAACATGGCGATGAGCAACGATCTGCTACTAATAAAAGAGTAAAACGAAGATAAAGTGAGGTGAAATGCACTTTTGGATTACTTTATTTGATGATTTCAGAGAAAAAATGGTCTCTTTCTATCTGTATAACTGGCAATAAAGTCAACACTCAGACCAGACAAGCCACCAAAATGGCGTTGGACTCTGTTTATGACTTGAGAGAATCCGAAACAGATTGCTCGGCGGGGATTTGAAGCGGACAATGAGGCGGTATGTATGAGCCCGGCATAATGTACACATGTTGTGCTTGTTTTCTGAGGGTATTTCTACCAGTGGTGATCATACAGATGATGCATGGCCACTGGTGGCCGCAGGTGTCGCCTGTACAAATGCGTTCATCGGGCTATCTCACGAGATCTACTACATCGTGATACTGGGCCAGTCACCTCCCGTAGTTATCCCTATCTGTATTCAACACAGTGAGATATTAATCATTCGTTATCTGTTTTAGGTGGAACAATCATCTTTGTTTTATCCTGCAGAGGATTCTTAACTGCTGCTGGACAGTCTTAGGACGGACTAGGATAGCTGGGGCCTGTACCGCCCAGCGGGTAATACTGCCCACCCGTATTTCGCAGGATTGACTGAGAAAAAAATTGTTTTGTGTTTTTATTATGCAAATATTTGATAACAACAAGTAATTTCAACAGAAATTTTCAATTTCTCCCGT